GCTTCTTCTTTCGGAGCTTCTTCTTTCGGAGCTTCTTCTTTCGGAGCTTCTTCTTTCGGAGCTTCTTCTTTCGGAGCTTCTTCTTTCGGAGCTCCTACAACACCAGGCTGAGCTTCACCTACATGCGTCTTGATTAGCGGCGTCACTACGTCTAGATGAGTCCTTCCATTTTACTGTTCCGCGACTGTCATGTCAGAGTCAGGATGCCTCGTATCAATTGGTCTATATCCCAATGATGAGGCTCTATCAGCCTTTTTGTACCTTCACCGAATGAAGCGCAGGAAAGCCAATTGATAAACTATCAAGTTTCGATTTCCTTACTTGACAAAATAACACAAGACGGATAAGAAACCTAATGGAGCTCTAATGGAGAAAAATTGTCAATGGCCTTAATGTTGATTTCTCCAAAGGAGCTGCCGTCGAGGTCGAGCCCGAATTCTGTATCAAAGTACTTTGTAACTTCGCTAACCACCCCGATTCGCCTGTCGTTGGATTGCTCAGCGAGTAAAACATCTTCCAGCAGAGATCCGGAAGCCGTTTATCCGTTATAAATAGCTTGTCCAGATCCTTGCAGGTTGGACGTAGTGTCTTAGTGCAGAATTCCTTACACACAGTCGCGATATTCGCCAGTGGAGTAGAGGTAGACACCTGGTTCGTCCTCTTCGCAGCAAGTGGAGTAAATCGCCTGTCCGCCTCCTCGATGTACAAAGTTTTGTTGTCTGGCTCGTCGCTCCTCTCCCGCACGTCGAAACCTAGGTTTCGCAGCTCCAGTAGAGCCTGTTGATAAGCGTTTTCTTCGTCTCCATTTAATAACATCTTTTTAATTGCGCTCTCGACGCCCTTTAGGTTACTTAGCAGCTACAGTGGTTCATTTCCCGCGTGTTTCCTCTTAGATTCCAAATAAAGAATCTGCTCAGCAACAACCAATGCTGTGGAAATGAATTATCGAAAGACTTAAAAACTTGCCCAGCTGGTCGCCTGACGCATCCCGACGAATTTCTTCTTCTTGGGGAGCTTCTTCTTTCCGAGCTTCTTCTTTCGGAGCTTCTTCTTTCGGAGCTTCTTCTTTCGGTGGAGCTTCTTCTTTCGGAGCTTCTTCTTTTGGAGCTTCTTCTTGCGGAGCTTCTTCTTTCGGAGCTTCTTCTTTCGGAGCTTCTTCTTTCGGAGCTTCTTCTTTCGGAGCTTCTTCTTTCGGAGCTTCTTCTTTCGGAGCTNGAACAACACATCGACCGGGCCTAGTATGATTTTTCGGTTCGATATATATATATTGCTGAAGATGGTTTCCTCTTCGTGTAGACAGTTCTTTCAATATGAAACTGAAATCATGGAGGTCCACCGCACAGAAAAGGGAGGCTTTGGTGTATCAATCATGCACTCCTCCGTGTTTTTTTTGATACTGCAGAACATTAACATCATCACCATAAAATATTAAGTACTCTCCGACTTCGCCCATTTGAATCCTCAAGGAAAAAACAATACTGATCCGTGGTGCAACTAGTACTAGCATTTCCATGACCAGCAGAAAACGACTTACCTTGCGACTCGTGACAGCCAATGTGACGTCGAGGAATGCATTCTGCGTGATCCTGGTTTTCGTGTTGCCCTCTTCTGGGTGTGGGTACAAATGTTTCTTGTATCCTAAAAAATCGCTCCCCTCGACATCGACTTGGTACGGTATCGACCCCCTCAGATTAGGTCCACGCTGCACCACGGGCTGAGCCTCCGAGGCCTCCGAGTCCTCACAGTGACAGGAGCTGCACTCTCCCGTAAGCATGAAGTCACGACAAAATAAGTAACTGCGAGCACATAACAGCAACTTGCACAATAAAACTGCCTACGCAAGTAAGTATTTTAGTTGTCTCGTGAACGCGATAGAAGATGAACAACAATTGCCTGCTGATTAGCATTAGAGGATATATCACAGATGAGAATAAGACAGCAAGCTACCTCCAGAAAAGAATATAGGAAAAAATATCACAACTACGAGAGCTCTCCTTTTCTTATTGTAAGAGTAGAAAGATCAAACTCTAAGTACCTAGTTCTAGACTATCGAGTGCTTTTCCCCCAACATAAAAGCGCCAGCATCTGGTTGATCCTCGTCGCCACTTGGACTTGGCGCATTCACCTCCCGGTGCGCTTCGATCCCTCTCGCGCTGCAGCCGTGACAATGGTACCCTATAACTACCAAAATCCAGAACCAGCCCTTTGCTTGCAGCTCCCGAGAACGTGCTCGCTGTAATATGCTTTGCCACGAACTCCAGCCTTGTTCTTTACCTAGGGTTGAAGTAATGAGAGAGAAGCATCGACAATGCTGAGCAGTTGTCGTGGTAGTGGTTGTCAGTGATCCTCTAATATATTTATCATATGTAGTGTTGGTAAACTAGCATCATGCTACAGGATCGAAGGAGCGAGGGAGGTCGTGACACAAGTAGATGAACAAGGGCAATGGACGACGAGGGCGAGGCGGGAGTCTCTTCTAAGAATTAAAAAAAACAAAACCAACCTGATAAATATGTTCCTGAGATTATTGTTGTGTACATCGTCCATTAATTATGCTCACTACTAACTTTTGGCTTTAAAATTCCTACAATCTTCTAGTAGTTGCATTGCGGAAGTACTCATCAGTAGCTGCAGTACCAATCGAATACATAGAAACACAAACAGTTACTCGAGTTAAAATTTACTTGCAACAATGATTTTAGGGGAGACTCAAGAGGGCGCAACCGCTGTTGTGCGGTAAATGCCGTTTCTCTTCAGCATGACGACAACATCAACAACAAGATTGCCAGTCCGATAGAAGAAATCGTAAAAATGAGAAAAGAATGATGATCGCCGGAGGTTCTTTCTGTTTTAGTAAAAAGAGAGCGAAATAGATCACTGTATCGGTAAAAATATTAATGCAGATAAAAAGTGCTTAGTTTGTGTTTCATTAGAACGACAAGCAGGAGCAGCAGTACCAAAAGGAAAGCCCATCGCTCGTGCTGCATCAAAGCAGGCCGTTAGTAGAAAGTAACTTCCGCAACAGAAACCCACGTGCGCGATCACCATAAGCATGACACCCAAAACCCACGCTCCCCATCTGGCAAAACTGCTGCTGTGTTTCTCGTCAAGTATATTAGAATAAATGACCAATCTCTATGATACTTCTCTAAATTTAAGCTTTACTTAGTGATATCTCTTCGACGTCCTCCACTCCTGCCTCTGCCAGTCAAAACCAAAAGATACTAGTTGATAACTCTACTAACTTGCGGACCATGACCTACCAAGTGAAAGAGAGCCGAAAAAACTTTCTACACTATAATAGTCAATCGTGAAGACAAGGACAACGTATAACGAGAAGAGAACAAAGACTAATTATTCATATTTCATGAAGTATCATCATGTCAATATAGAAGTAAAACAACATCATGATCATGCCCCGAATCGGAAATCCGAGAACATGACTATTGCTGATAACGATAATCTATGAAGTAACTATATATAATGTGGGAGTAGATTTGACTGGCCTACCATCCCTTTCATTTTCGGCAGCTGATGACATGGAGAGTAGATATAAATACAGGCCATTCTTCTCGTGCTTTAGGTCTAGGTGTAACTATAATACTTAAACAGGTTCCGCGTCAGTAACTGGGCATGTGTCACTACATCAAAATCTAAAATCACTGAAAAAAACAGCAGTCCCTTCTTAACTGAAAGGAAGAGCCCGCGCTCCCGATCCACCTGCTTCTCCTGTTCTGCCAACAAGAATGCGGACACTAGACGTGGTAGGACGGATTCACCACTCCCGAATAGATAGAGAAAAGAGACCGGATAGATAAAGAATCCCCACACCAGAAAACATACTCGAACCAACCTGAACGGAATTCGAGAAGTGTTCAAGAGAGTAGCGTCTGCGCAACACGCAGCAGCAGCACTACATGGAATTCCGTCTCGTCCTGCTTCTTCCTCGTATTAGCATTAGCAGGGCTGAAGAAAAATACTCGTCTTCGTGGTTATGCGACTTTGTTCTGCCAGCATTTGTTTCACTTCGTCTACTGCGGTGTACAGTACTAGAGTTGTACTGGATACTAATAGGGCCAGTGCCACGAGATGCTGACGCGCTATCTAGATGGTAAACTCATGTTTTAGTTTTTAGAATCAGATGAGTAAGTAGAGTAAGCAATTCCAAAAAAATCCTTGAAAGTAAGATGAGTTGGAAAGATGAAAGTGAAACATTTGTATTGTTTGAGAGCCATAATCAGCGTAGACTGGCGAGGACTGCAGTTGTGCAAGGTCCTCATCAACCGAATCATACTGCTCACACCCAAGCCTCCCCATTTTCTTGCGCAGGAGCCTATTTTGCCACCTCATCCTCCAGACTCGCGTGAGTGCCTTGTCCTGGCGTCCCTTGTTTCCAGCGCCTCTAAATCTCAGGAAATGCAATCCGCCGTATATTATGCCAACGTGCGCAATCATCACAAGCACGAAACCCAAAGCCCAGGCTCCCCATCCAGTAAAATTGCCTCTGTGCTTTTCGTGGTCAAGTATTTTAGATGGTGTCTCAAAGATCTAGGATCGATGATGGTAATATTATTCTGGAATTTTAATAGAAATCATCCCTCTCGCCTTCCACTTCCAGCAGTAATAAAAAATCAGTTATTACAAAAAAATTGCGAAAAGTTTCGGAACACGAGCTGCTGGGTGGAAGACTGAGAGAAGAAGAAGTGTTTCAACAAAAGACAAATTCAAATAGGTAATAGACGGAGGGAACAGTAGAGGAAGACTTAGTAATAGTAAAACATCATCTTTGTTCTTCATCATGACATCTCGTCAATCTCGTCCTCGACATCCATGACTTGTTAATCTTAATACTAGTAGATCCTATAAACCGAAGATCTGGAAGGTCTAGGCAGCCAGGTTTTATTACATGTCCATGATGTGGTCAAATAACACCAGGTTACAAGTGGCCGCGTCCGTTTCTAGTTCTACTAGACAAGCTGTAGCTTCTACATCTACTTGAATGAATCTCATTTCTACTAGGTGGGTAGAAAATGGAGTAGATATATCTGCTCCTGTGTCGCGCGAGAGCACGGACCAATCACCAACGAAGGGACCACTAGCTCTAGCACTAGTAGGTGCATATATAATGAAAGCACAATAGTATCCAAATTCAAGAACGTCTTCAACATGACCTCCATGAATGAACTTTGTTTGGTGAAGACTTAAACAAATTAGTATCCCTTTTGTCAACATGGCCTCCATGAATGAATTTTGTTTGGTGAAGACTTAAACAAATTAGTATCCCTTTCGTTATTCTCCAGAAAAAAAAAATTCAAAGAAAAAATAAGCCCATCCTTAACGACCAAGGCTGACCCGCGCTCCCAATCTGCCTGCTTTTCAGCTCCGAATACGGATAGTAGATAGAATAGAACGAGATCTGCATTGCCGATGGAATAAAGGAAAGAGAGCGAACAGAAAAAGAACCCCGTTCCCGAAAGGAGAAAACACGCTGCTCGATTCAACCTGGGATGTTGGGATTAAGAAGATCCGAGTCGACATCAGATTGCTGCACTATTGTTCCACAACTTGAGGTCGTTAAATTGGGGGGAGATTCATCGTCCCGACACCACGCCTACGACAAAATATTATACAGTTGAGTCATGTATGGAAATAAAAACTATACTCATGCTCGAAAACCGATTTATAAAAATTTAAATTAGCTAGCAGATAGATACTTAACTAGCTAGTTAAGCTGGAGGCCAGAGGCGGCAGATTGGGTCAGCGTGGACCACGGCGTGGAGGATCCTCAGGTAGACCATGAGGGTGGCCTGTGTCTGATGATGACGAAATGCAAGGCAAAGTCGCAAGATCCTTTTGTGATTCTCGTTGTGGCGCCAGGTGGTGCCACATTTCAACATGATAAAAGATCTTGGGCCTTGGCTTTGCATTTTCCGTTATCAGCTGACACAGGCGAGCCTTCGTCTCCTGTGATACATCCCACGCCACGGCCACGCCGCCACCGAATCCGCTGCCTCTGGCCTCCATTTTAACTAGCTAGTTCAATATCTAAACACTAAATTAAATAAAATTTATAAATATCGTTTTTGAGTTTGAGTACCCCTTTTTCGTCCATATCATGGGTTGAATATTCATCATCATGGAGGCGAGGTCTACTTCAGTTGCTTACTCATTTTGCTTCATTTCTAAATGATCCACCGACTGAGCTCTCCTTGAAATACCCGAAGTAACCCGTCTGAGCCTGAGGCTGATGCGTCTGTATATAATTCCTGCACGTGCCTGCGCGCCGAGCTGTCACCGCCATTAAACCTTAGAAGACAGGTGGATCATTCTAAAATTCTCGAATGTTCCTGTCTTACTCGCTAGCAGTAGTGTGCCTAGAAATAATAAATTGCTCTGATTCTGTAACTGTAACAACTCAGCATGATTTTTTCATACTAGTACGTAGTAAAAAGAAGAGTCAGCACCTCTTTCTTCCAGCATTCTTTTACTTTTGCTGTTGTGCGTTCTTGCGCCCATCTTCGTGCTCTGTCTGGTAGTTGTGCAAGATGAAGAATAAGCAGCTGCAGCATCCGCTTGTTGCGCTTCTTCATCTAGTAGCGGTAGTATGCTGACCCCTCTTGCTTCACTTCCATCCGGTGAACCGCTACTTGAAACAGAACAAGAAGAAGAGGAAGAGCAAGGCAATTCTGGTGATGTCATCAAGGAATTCTCTGCCTCGTCATCCTCCATACACTCCTCATCCCTGGGCTCCCACCACCTCGCAAATCCAATGTTGAGCGCCAGCTTGGGCACGTAACTGTTTGTGTTTTTGAAATAGAATCTATAATTTCGATAATATGAGGGAGTACATTCAAAGTAGACTACGAAGGTCTGCAAAAGGGCCCTACATACCTATCTCACACGATACGTTAAGCCAGCACAGCAAAATCAGCACATCATGTAGTTGTTTTTAGCGACTATAATATTACAGAACCAAAGACAGTTCTTGTGGGTCTCTGTTAAAAACTCAGGAGAAGGGTATAATAACTAGCTACTTTAAAGCAGAAAGAACGGAGGTGCGTAGAACAACTAGAAGTAGAATTGTAATAGATCAATCTATTCTTCTAAACCATGTTGATGATAAAGTTAAAGATAATGTTAAAAAGCAACTCATAATATTAACCACAACAACTACAACATGAACTACATTCCAAAATACTCGAGCCTCCAGCTCCCCACAATGCCATACGCATAAGGAGGTTCGTAGCTGTCCTCAAAGGCATCAACTTTGTCATCGTACATCCTGAAAGCAATCGCGCTAGGTGGTGGCGAACCCGTACTTCCAGATGAATCACATGAAGGAACAAGGCTTACTGCTCTTCCATCCCCCGAGTATGATTAGAAGTCGTGTACTTCTCTCTGGGGATTTTGCATCTTCTAGGGAACCACTAATCAGCATCTACTCCGTTCATGCTTCAATTTGGTTCTCGTAGCCGCGTCTGGTTGCAGATCATCCAGATCTCTTCTAATAAGGCGGGATTGGGAGAGGAGAAAGACCACATTGATTCCTTCAGCATACTACAAGCAACGATATAATAAGGTCCGAGACTGGGCAGGTTCTCAACTCACTTGCCAAAGGCCAAACTTTTGACCAAAGGCCAAACTTTTGACCAAAGGCCAAACTTTTGAAAAATCTCAAACTTTTTACAAAAGCAGGCCAAACTTTTGAAAAATCCCAAACTTTTGACAAAAACCAAACTTTTTGCCAAAGCCCAAACTTTTTGCCAAGACCCAAACTTTTGCTAAGCCCCCCAAACTTTTGGCAAGGCCCAAACTTTTGCAAAGCCCTAAACCTTTCCCAAAGGCCCAAACTTTTCCCAAGAGCCCAAACTCTTTCCAAAAGCTCAAACGCTTCCCAAAGCTCAAACTTTTCGCCAAACCCCAAACTTTTTCCAAATGCCCAAACCTTTCCCAAGTCCCCAACTTTGCTTTGCCCAAAAGCTCTAACTTTTTCCAAAGCCGAGCCCAAACTTTGCCCAAAAGCCCAGCGTAAAACAAACCCTCGCCAAAGCCGAGCCCAAACGCTGTCCAAACGGCAGCCACGGCCACAGCCACGGCCACGACCGCGGCACCAGCCACAGCCACAGCACCAGCCACAGCCACGGCACCAGCCACAGCCAAGGCACCAGCCACAGCCAAGGCGCCAGCCACAGCCA